CCCCCCCCCCCCTCCGATTGAAGAATTTGTACGGAGGGGTATGCGGGGGCTCCGGCCCATGTGCGGTGTGACTGCTGCTGCTAAAAGCTACAAGATCTACGTACAATTATCCGACCTGCACCTACATGTACCTCACCAGCAGCGCCTGTTACATGTTGCCACGTCCAGGCTTGAACAACGTCGCGCAGGCTCTGGTCCCCCGTGGCGTGTTCGACGATGTTTTCTTCATGAACCAGCTCCTCGATGGCTTCAGGAAGATGCAGGGTTCGCTTTTCCCATCTGCTAAGATGATCCAAGACGCCTACGTAAGGGTGCGTTCCGGGGACCCCCACCAGCTAGATAAACGCTGATGATGTTGGCAGGAAAGACGTCCTCCGTCTTCACGCCTCTGTTCGTGATGCCGTCGCAAAATACGTTGTGACGATCCTAACCCTCTCTGCGGAACTCGCCTCTGGTGACGATCTGTTGTCGGAACGCAGGGGGGTCTCTCTCCACCTAGCCAATCAACCGTCCGCCGCCATAAGGCTGCCGTAAATTGTCTGACGACGGAAGGATTCCAGGTGCTGCAGCGGATCCAAGAGAGATTNACGACGGAAGGATTCCAGGCGCTGCAGCGGATCCAAGAGAGATCTCACGAAGACCCCTCCATCCACATGGCGTCCCTTACGTGGACCACTCTCAGCCACAGCGCGTTTGGTGAAGCCGGTCAGACCAGTGGTGCGATTCAAGCTCTTATGCTCGAACACATGGTTAGGTGAGCATTGAGTTGGCCGGCCGTACAAGACACGCATGCGTGTGGCAAAGTACCTAGCCTTAATCCCTCACCACAAACGTGAAACATCCATGTTTCTGGTCAAATATCCCGAGCCTCCCGAATTATCTGAGGCTGTCAATGTGTGTCTGGTACGGCTTTCATTTGTGCGCGAGGTTCTTCAACGCCTCCACCACCACCCCCACCCTCCCCGCCAGGTTCCGCTCCTCATCCGACAACTCGAAGGCGCTAACGGGCGATGATCTACCTGACGTCGCCAAACTCGCTCACGATGCACATGACTTCATGGAACAGACTGAGGCGGCATTCGGCGCTCGTAGCGAGTGGTTCCCCGAGCTCGCAGTGTGAGTGATAACGTCGTATACCACACGTCATGTAGCATTACAAGGCGTCATGTCGGCACACTAGGCCCGCAGCAGTTAGCCGCGAAGGCGTGACAACTGTTTTTTCTTCCACTCAGCCAAAGACCTTTTTTTTCCTTGTTGTTGCCGCGGCTCATCGTTCGATAGGCTGGTAGAAAAGTACGCCCACGTCCAGTCAGGCGCTCTCGAGACAATTGTCCGCCCATGAATGAAAAAGCGGGATGACGAGGCAAACGAACTCAGCAGCAACTCGCCCGGCGACCGACGTTTGTCCGACGACCAACTCCACGTCATCTCCGCCGCGAAACCCCTCGGCCGCATCCACAAGGTACCTAACCAGGATTACATGCCCTATTATGTGTTGCGTATTCCCTCCTGTTTTTTGGCAGCGCTGTGCAAGAGAAGGCGTCTTTTGTCTTTGGACGACTATCGAGTGTTAGGAGTGCAGCGACTTAACCACTGTGTTTCTCGTCCCATATGGCGGCCGATTCGTTTGCCGGATGAAGCAGGCTGCCACTAAGAGTAAGACAGAACCGTCGACAACCCACTACGAGACATTCCAGAAGCGGTTTCAGGAAGTCATGCTCGCC